TTTGCTTATCACGTTTTTTTTCAACTTTACGTGATAATTAATTGGCAGATATTAACATTGAATTCCATTTATTAAATATCATTTTTTTATAAGAGAACAACACTATCGAAAACTTCATTTATGTATTTATAGAAGACTTAAATGTTGGATCAAGATTTGTATACGTACATATTTGATTGTATTTTTGGGTGGTTTATAATGACTTAAGCGAATTAAGCGACTTGTAACGATTATCCAATATTATATACATATATAAATACAATGAATAATACGAGATGTTTCCGTGAAAAGCCATATTTTATTCCTAAGACTTACGTCACACAGAACGAACCCAAGGCGGGATTCAATGCTATTAATTGTACATAATTGAAGCTGCTTCAAGAAGTCTTAAGAAACATGAACATAATTATTGTAATTTCTGTTATTATAATTATTTTTTTGTTAAATCAGCTACATGTGAATGAGTTAAATTCAGTCATTGAAAATAATAAAAAAGGGATTTTTTTTGAATATAAGTGTGATTACATGTGTTTTTTTTTACAAAATAATGTATGACAAGATGCAAAAAATAAGTGATTTATATGTTTTCCTCAATGGAGTTATCGGATTGGAAGATTTTAAGCTTTTTTTCTAATATTTATGTACATATATACTATTACGTGAGCATATTTATACATATAGATACTAAGCAAATTAAATAGGTAGCCCGTGTTAGTATGTCCAAAATGAAAGCCGTCAAATTATAAAGCTGTAGGCTTCATAAATTTTAAGCAGTTTTTTATGAGTGATCAATGTGACGTATTTTAAAGAGTATAAAAGATATAAAACTAACTAAGCGTTTAAAATTAAAAACAATTTATCATATGCTTTTCTTAAATTCAGTATCAGTATCTTGAATTCAGTATTTGTTATTAATTGGATAGTATTGAAATAGATCTAAATCAAACAAATAATTCCGTTATTCCGATTATTAATTGATGTTTGAATTCCCAAAAGTTTGTTAACTAATTCCCAAAAGTTCTCTCGTAATACTTTTCGTTTTTGCTAAATCCATTTAAAAGAATCGATTATAATTAATAAAGGTGGATTATCTTTACATTTCATTACTATTTTAATGTGGTTACGTTAATAAGTTCTCGTTATTTTATCGATGTCGATAAACAGCGTTTTATATCCAGTCACTAATGAAATATTAAAACTGATATAACCTCATAATTTTCCTCTTTCGAGAAAAGTAACAGTTAATACCGTAAACGTTTAATGGTTAAATGATTTTTTTCGTTACATGTTTTATTAATGTTCACGTTTTGTGTTTCAGCTTTTGTGAATCTAAGTTTCTATATATTAGATAAATGCGAAATTTAGAAGAAAACGATACTTTAAGATATACAAAATATTTAAATATATGTTACAACTTAGTATGTTTAGAAATTCTATTTAAATAAAGTCAAATTGTTGTTAATACAACAGTTACTGTTAAATTAATGCGAAGTTAATTATTTTCCAACTTTATAAATAACTATTGAGAGTTATTGTCTGTGAACTGTGAATAATCAAACTATATTACTGTGGATGTGGCTAATCCAGAAATATTACAAAAATAACTTCAATATATTGTTATTGTATTATTTATCATTAACATAATCATAAAGTTCATAAATCATTAAGTCATAAGATCTAAAAATGTAAAAATGCTTAAAAATCAGACTTTTAAGCTCAAAGTAGTTGTCTACAACTCTTTTAGTTTCTATTTATAATTGCCATGAATTGACAAATTTATTGACAGAATTTTTCTATCTTATTCGTAATCTTATAATTTTTATGTCCACATTTTAGTTTTTATATTAAGAGACAAGACGAAACCTCTCAGCATTCCATGGATTCACCGTGCGGGTGCCGGGTCCATCGTTGCAGGGAGAGGAGCTTTAATAGTGCCTGGGACTTGCGACCCAGGTGTAGGTTTAAGGGGTCTCTATCTAACGCGCGTTAAACGATCAATAGTATACTGTATGTATATAAGGGATGAAAGTTGTTTATATGAGGCGTCTACAGTTGTTTTTATTATTGAATTGGCATAGATTTTTCGAAATAACTTTGTTGAAGGTTCAGCGGGTATTGAAGAAAATTAAAAAGAGGTGAGTCTTGAATTTTAGGTCAAACACTCATCGGATGAGATGATTTTTTTTGATGCCAATTCCTATGACTCAATAGTTTTAATATTAAGTATATAATTATAAAAATATTTAATACAAAGTTGTCGATATAAAAATGTTAAATGTGAATTTCAAATAAGATTATCTGAATAAATTATTAAAGGTCAGATAAAGGTCGACCAGGCCATTTGTTATATCTTATTGGAGTCCATTAAATAATTCAAAATTAGAGGTTTTACTTCAACAGATATTACAGGGAATGGAATTTTGACGGTTATTACTAATTTCAATAATCAATATATATATAATGATTATATAAAACTATATATATATATGTACAAAAATTTGAGGTGGTAGAGCCTAGCTATGGTCAAGTTACTACAGCTCGTTCATGGGCTGGCTCGACCGGGGAAGTACCACCCTCTCACAGAAAATCGGCGTGAAGTAGTCTTTAAAGGCTGCGTTTCGTCCGGTGAGTGAGAGAGCCGGTTGCCCTTTCCCTTTTCCCAACCTTTCCTTTCCCTCAGTTTCCCACCTTTTCCTCCTCCTTTTCCCCAATCAAGAGCGGCAACACATCCGCAAATCTGTGTTGCAGATATCCAAGAGCGACGGTTCTACCTACCATCAAGTAGGCCGTCTGCTCGGTTGCCCCCTTTCGCCATAAAAAAAATATTGAGGAAATATTATAACTGATGTAGCTTTTTGATATACCTTAAACTGAATTTCATAATAAATTGAAGCCTACGTCTTTTTATGTCTAGATTACTGTAAAGTTTACTGTAAGGTAAAAAAGTTCATTATTTTTGAATGAAAGAGCAAAAAACATCCTTTATTCACACATCATTGTATCCTCAAAAACTTCCTTATCAATATTAGCAAGATAAAATATGCAACCTGCTCGTAAAAATATCCAGTCCTAACAATTAGTCATATAAAAATTCATACTTACAGAAAGATTTAAATATGGTGTACATACGTTATAAGTGCATATAAATAATCAATTAAAATATGTATATAAGGGTTTAAATTAATACTTATTAATCCATACATTTCAAAGTAATAGAGTACATATAATGGAAACGCAACATTTTTTTTATCAGAAATAGGTACCTAAATCTATACCTACGACAAAAAATCAATAACTTTATGTACATATCTTCTGTCAAAAAAACTTTTTATTTTAAGTCACAATATTTAAATTTATTTTTTTTAGCAATAGCTTCGTTGATCGTTGGGTATAAGAAATTTAAAGCCGAGTTTTTCTCTACTTATTGCGAAATTTTTTACTTTTGAAGATGGTCAAGGAAATTCGCGATACAGATTTTTTTATTTACGTGCTATTGATATCAATAGATACTATTTATTTTAATGTAAGAGTAGCTAAAAATCATTACATATATACTATATAGGTATAATTCTCGAACAATCCTAATTCATTTATTTCTGTTAATGACTAAAAGGAGTATGTTTAACCTAAGTAAATTTTAGAAACAATTATCATAGATTAAATAACTCAATACTGCTAAGAGCCATCAGTGTTACAGTTTGGGGCGTAGTTGAATTTTTTTGGAGTATCGAACTAACCTCTCGTTCGATACAAGGTTTTGAATATACAACCAGCCATATTTTCGAAAGAAAATAAACGAAAGAGAAATACCGACTTTTCAATCATATCAAAAGTGAAGCACAATTTTTTTATGACAATTTAACTTTCTTTAAAATCTATTCCACTTATTAGATAGTGTTGTGGTTGTATATATGACAAACTTAATATACGTTCAGTTAGAGTAATATATTACACGGAATTAGTGTTTACACGGAACGGAAATGATGTTGACAGTCTTATCATGTTAATTACACGGAGGTTCATTTATGTGTACAATCTCATAGAGTGAGTACTTCAGAATTTAAAACATGAGAGATGTTGTTGAGGTATTGTGCATACAGACATTCAGCTAACATATTATTTAATAAGGAAATTGAACAGAATTTATATTAAAATGAAGATGCTTTCTACATATATTACAATTTATTTATTATTATCATATCGTCGTGGAAATAATATTGAGTACATATAGAATTTATTAAAAAATCACGTTTTAAAATAAAAGGCTTATAGACTTTAGACGTATAAAAATTAAATATGAATTTCAAATTTAATCGACTCATGAAGAATGACCTTATGAAAATAAGATAATAGAAATCTTAAATGTTTTGGAATCCATTTTAAATATGGTTTTCGGATTTCTATGACTATCACATAAACGTCTCAACCGACTAGGTTTTTTTTATTAAAGTCCGACTTTACAGTTAAATTCACTATATAAGTCTTCTAATTTCTATAAATATTTTAAATCAAGTTACCAAAAAATATTCGCAATTTTATTGAGAAACCTTAAACACTACCTTATTCAAATAGACAATCTTATAGCTATATTGAAAGAAAAATGCATTTAACGTAAATATTTACTGATATATTCTTCAGTTTTCGTAGGAACTTACACCAAATATTTACGTTCCTTTATGAAACAACAATACAGTTAGATTTTATATAGAAATATTTATATTAAAAGCAACAACATAAAAGTGTTGTAAAAAACAAATATATGAATAATATTCTACTGACCTAGGACATGAAAGTATATCGGATTATACTAATGTTCCGTATTTTTGTTACAAAAAATGGTATTATATAGTTTTTAGTAGTTTTTTTGATGCGATTGATGGCAGATGATTTATTCGGTCCATTTGAGGCGGTCGTTAGTTATAAATATGACCGGAAAAATATATCCGGATGTTTTCAGAGCTACAGTTTCTTTATATTTCTATTATATATTATATACTTACGAAATACTGTGAGTTGTTTCTCACTAGAAGCCTTCGTGTATATCGGTGTGTCCAGGGATACTTCGCAGGAGTAGCTACCACTGGCAGCAAAATCCAGGTTTTGAAGTGTGATTGAATTCTCTGTAGCTAAAGCGATCTGGAATAATTATTACAAACCATATATTTACGATATTACCAAGAATTAGATATAATCAAGAACGATAAAGATAGCAAGTTAATTAAGATCATTAAAGTGAAATACTTTCAGTACATTAAAACATTACAATTTAAAAGTTTAGGTACTTTGAATAAAACTAATAATTTCGGATCACTACTACTGAAAATATCTTTTCATGATGTCACAGTTGCTGAAAAGTAACTGAAACGTCGGGTGAATGTAGTTTAAAATATAAAAAATTCCTGATACATACGAAAATAGTAATTTTATTTAAAAGTATTTAGAAAGTTTTAGTCCCCATTAAAAGCTTGGTATTAGTATCACTTAGAATGCTGTATCATGACTCTATTATTTCAAAAATTTACTCACTGACCTGTGATGCTTTATTACAATCAATAAGTTAATGTACATGCACAAGATTTTAAAAATTAAATCTAGTTTTTTTAACACAAAATTATTACGTCAATCTCTTGACTTAGCTGTAATAGATTTAACTATGTATTCTTGGTGTGAATTTTAAGTACCTGTTACATTGCTCTAAGTGTTTAAGTAGTTACATTTATGGCCCCTTTATAGTTCGCAGAGATTGTGCTATTGTATAACTTTTCTATAATATAACTTTATAATACTGCGTTCTCTGTACTGGGAAAGTTTTAAGTACGTTGTAAATTTTGAATTATAGTAATAAGTTATTCTTGCTCGTGTAGTGCGAGTGCATCGGAGCGTAGATTGAACTTTGCTTCAAGTTTATCCAATTTTACATTTCGAAAGATTACGCTTTTTCCATTAATTGCAGTTAAAATTCGTAACACAAATATTTATGTGTAAACTTTCATTTCACTGAAAGTGTTGAATATATATTTGATTATACAACAAAAGGGTAGGTATCATATATTCTTTATAATTAAAACAAAACAATATCCCCATATTGGTGGTCTTTCTGTATGTCCATAGAATACAGTAACTCAATTTAAAGATTAATCAGGCAACGCTAGCGTTTTGGTGAACGTCGTCTAAATGTTTCCTTCACAAACAAGGCCGGCAACGCATCTACAATACTTCTTATGTTGTAGATGTCCATGGGCGACGGTGACTGCTTTCCATCAGGTAGACCGTCACCCCGTTTTCCCCTTTGGTAATACATATATAAAAAAAAATCTCACACTTTGCTCTCTTTTAATTACTTTTTGTTATGTTTAAATATAAATAAAGTAGCAATCACAAATCATTTACAATAGTATTGAGCATCTGCATTTAATATATTATTATTTGCATAATATTTCCTCGTATATCAAGTCGGGATACAATATAATTTTGATGTATTATCGCCTTAGGAATTTATAAACTACATAATCACTGCATAAGCTTATTCAATCTCATATTTTGCTTCCTATTGATGAAAATTTAAAATATTATCTGATTTAACTTATGTTTGTAACTTTTAAAAGCAACAAAATTTTTAGCAAGTTATCTTAAACCTTATTACGTGATGGCATATAGTTTGAATTTCAATGCGTTGTTAGTTACTGACCTATTTCAAAACTAAATATGGGTTGTCGGAAGATGACAGACTTACCATTTGGGAGGTCATATGACATGGGAATAAAATTAAGTGGATTTACTATGAAAACGAGATATTAAAATTAATCCACTTTTCTTAGACTATGGGTAATAACAAAGATGGTAGATTAGATATATTATTTGAATATTTCGACGGCAAAAGTTTTCATACAAATTTTTTTTGAGTACAATATGATAAATAAAATGAATATTTCAAATTAACTGGTAAACTTGTGGACCAGCTGTCTTTTGCAAATATTTGGTTTTATTCCAATGCCAGTATGAAAGATTTTTTTGCACTTCTATGTAATTAAAACCTGATCTATATGTTGTTGGTAAATTTTAAATAATGTAATTTAAATGTGAAGTATGGGTAAAAATAGAATGATTTGCAAATACATATTAAGTCAGTAATAATTTTCGTATTCTATACTTAGCTTTGATCTGTTTAACTTAAGACAATGTTTATTTAGGTAAGCTTGTTAGTATTTCGAAATGGAATTTATCTTTAGATTCTATTGAATATAATTTATGTATTTATAATATACTTTATTCAATTGCTTAATGTAATCACTAAAGGAAGGTATCCCTTATTAAGTTTTCGACTTATTATCCCCGGATTATGTAAACTATCTCATAACAATTTTAGATAATTATAATTTCATTTAAGAAAACATTATAACGTTTAATTTTCTATTCTGTTATTTCAGTGAACCCGGTTTTGTAAATTAATTGATAGTAAGCTAGCTGACTCCTTACCTGGTTGATGTATTATCGCTTTAAATATCTACATTTAGTACTAGTTTTTTCATATTCAATTTGTAATTTATGTGTACGAAACTAAAAACTTTCTGTGTTTATTTTGATACTGAAAAATAGTGGTAATAGTATTTAATAAAATTACCTTAAAGTTAAATTTACAGTTAGACGGAATATCTTATTCATTTCTATAATTAAAATCTGTTAAGACAGTGTGTGGTAATCATGATTGCATACTAAGATATACATATTTAGAAATATTATATTTTTATTTACTTATTTAAATGACTGACACTTGGAAATACAACTATATATACAGTTTGGTACATAGGACAAGAAAAATGGTATCCATTTAGGCTTCCTAGGCTGTGGTTTCCCTAACGTAATGGTGAGCCGGAAAATTAACTCTAGCTGAGCCATTATTCGCTATCTACTTCATTAGTGAGGTGTGCCCATCTAACCGTTGTTTTCTAGTTAGTTAGTGTACCAGAAACTAAACTAAACATTGTATCATTTATAATTGTTATTACATAAACTATACCATATTGTCGTATGAATCCTAGCGTCAGTTAAAATGTCATTCTATTGAAATAAATCACATTATTATGAAGAAATGGTACATAAAGCGGTCCCAAAAGACCATGAGATAACGGCCCCATGGTCGACATAAAACGGTCTTATTTATATTTATGTTAGAGTTTGGATGAATTAAGAAAAACATAGACTTATATAAATATTTACGACACAAAATAATCATATCCCTTTGAATACTGTCTATGCTCAAGTATCAACTGTTTTTATTTTGGGTGTTAAGAGATTCATGAATATATATCACTCCGTCTCTCACTATTTAGAGCTCAGGCGAAATTAATGTTTAAATTTATACCGTTCCCTCTTGGATTCCGATATTATAATTTATTAAAAACTATCTTCTTAAAAGGGGTAGATACTGAACTAGTTTTGTATGCAATGTATGTGTTTTACATATATCTCGAGTTGTTTTAGAATGAGATAGTACTTAAATAATGAACAATATCTATTATATTATTTATATGGATTGAAAGAGGATTTAAAAATTCTGTTTAATTTGTATTATGCCTGAAATTCAGCCGCAATATTGTATTCCATTCTCTTTGTCAAATTCCAACTCAGCTGTATATCCAAGGCAGGCTGTGTTCAAAGTAGGACGACAAAGACGTGCTATAAAGTTATAGTATAGCTTTGTAGACCACTGATTAGATGAGCCTAATATTGAGCAACCAAGTTAAGCTGTTAGGGTTTTTTGGGCGTGAATTTGATTTCACGTATTCAGAACTTATTTTTTAGGAAATATATCTGTCGTAGAAAGGAAAGTAGTTAATTTTAAGAGGATCATATACTAAATAATTTGAAACTGATATAACTACATATGTATTTATCCGTTGTGCTCATTCCATACATACTAATTAATAGCGGGAACTAAAAAAATGTTAGTATTTTGTAGCGTATCCATTCCATTTCAAATGAAGTCTCTAAAATTTTGTTATACAACATATTATTTCAATCTATTTGAATGTTGCATAAAACATGATATCAATATAAATCTGATATCGGCATATGTTATACTTCTATTCAAACTCTTATCACTGACTATAACATGAATTCAATATGATTAATTAATTATACGACGCTTGTAAAATGTATACTTTCGAATAAAAAATTATTTGGTACCTAATGTTTCCATTTTTATGAACGGTCATAAATATACAATTATATTCATGTATTTTTTTCTAGTTTTAAAACGTAAACATTTTTAGGAATTGTTGAATACTTTTTTAATGATTTTAAATTGAATTGAAAATATATTTAAAAAAAATGTTGAATAAGTAATGTGCGTAGATTTTATTACACATTATTACAAGTTCTACGGTTTATAAATATGAAAATTATTCAGAAACATACTCGTATTTTCGTTATAAAGCCAAAATTTTTGCCAACTTTATATGCATATTCACAAATTATAAGAAAACTGGACTTTTCTAACAATATTACATCGTTATTCGGAGATGGTTTGATTGTGTTTTGTTTCAGAACACATTTCATTAAGATCAGATCAATATGTAAACAGGAAAATAGGAAACTTGGCGTGTTTTAAAAATGAAAGTATGCCATAAAAATTATATTTACAAAACGAATAAAGTTAAAAATGTACATAAAGGCGCTGTGGAAATATGGTCCCTTGTTTATGGCTGCCGGTGTCGTTATATTAGTGCCGGGATTTCGTTATGTACATAACATTATTTACGATTACGTAATAAACTTATATTTTTCTTATTATTTATGCCCCATTTATATTATAATAAAATCTTCTCCCCGTCGCAAACGTTATTCGATTAAGTGTAGTAAGTAGTATTATTTTATTTACGAGTATGTTCTGAAAATATTTCTTGTAGATATAATCTCTAATTGTTTAAATAAATGAGAGTCGTAAACAGATTTATATAATACCCAACAAATCCAACTTATTCAAATAAACTTTTGTCATTTTTAAATTGCTGCTTCTTAAATATTAGGGTCGCAGGATTAAAAGATAAACCAAAATGCTTTAGATGCTTTCAAACTTTTTCGTTCCTGCTAAATAAATAAGAGTTTATGACAAACCTATATTTTTTAATACTTTTTTTTATTGGTATTCCACATTTTCTGGAAAATTTTCAAAAATCTCTACATGATGTTTATACATTTACAATTTGTTTTGTGTATTATTTTATTATTTGTTTTTACAAGTAGTAAATATATATATTTTTAAATTAATCTCATTGTTACTAATTTTTGAAACAGTAAAAAAACGCGCAGTAAATCCGAAAACATTACTATTATTTTAATTAATACTCCCGAAAGTCTTACATATCATTGTATTAAACAATTATTATTAGTAAAAATATTGTTGTATGGTTAAATATCTTAAACTTTGTTACTACATCAAATTAGTGGTAGTTAGATTATACTCAGTTTTCATGTAAACGTTAAAATTTTTCTTTAAAACAAGACTGCAACGTAATAAATTTTCCTTATAATTAGTACGTTCTAATTTTAAGTTATTTTTGTTGCTTGAAAAATTTTCTTCTTCTTTTGTAATATTGCATCAGAAACAAGTACAAATATATATTTCGCTTGCTCTATCTAATGTACACGAGAAATCTAAGTTTTTAATTTAAAGCTGTTCGCAGACTAAAAACATAAAGTATAATTTGATTTTTAAATCATAATTTTCTTTCACCGCTCCGTAGGGTTATAAAAATTTTAAACATTTACTAAATTTACATTAAAATGTATAAAGTAAACCTATATTTATATATCCAAATAATTAAATGCTTAGTCTTAATTAATATCAGTGTTTTAATAAACTTCAATGGTCAACTTACATTTAGAACAGCTCCAGGTGTTGTGAAGTTTCTGTACGGCGGTTTCCTGTTCCTGATGTATTGAAAGATTTTGGTGCCGTGTCGAAGGAAAACGACTTTGTCCAGCAAGTGAGGAGGGACGTCGTGAACGCAGCGGAGACGAACAGATCCTCCACGAGCCGCCCACCTTTCAATCTGAAGTTCCACCTTCACCTCTGTATGACCTCGAGCTGAAGGAAGAATACGTCCATTATATAAACTTTGCAGTGACAACAAACTTTATTTTAATTAAAACATTTTCTGAACAAGCACTAAAGCAGAGACAGGAAAAAAATATATATTGAAATCCATTTAATTTGACCTCAATAACGCAAAAAGAAATAAATCACTTTAGGTATATACACAGATTATATATGGAATTTTATTAAAAAATTAATTGAAGCATCGAAACTTTATATTATTTTCAATATTTTAACGGTTTAAGAGATAATATTGATATTAAAATACAACAATGAACTGTATTGGTTCATGTTAGCACAATAACAAACAAGACGTAATTGAATAAATGTACATGTTGTGTTTGTTTCGTAGGTAAAAATGTTTATCATTACTGTATATTTTATTGTATTTTTAGTATAATATTATTATTTTCAAGGGACCTGCATTATATTTTTGACGTAAAATAATCGTAATCTAACCAATCGTCTAACTCAATTTGTTAAATTCGAACACCAAGCAATAAATCAATTTTGTACAAAATGGAACAATCACTATCTAACAGAAACAATGTAGATTGTATGAACTGAATTAAACTATTAAATATAATCGTGTTTGATTTACAGATGAAATAATTGTTAATTAAATTAACCGTCAGTTAATATTCAGTTGGAAACAATGAAATTATAACGGTAATATTCATCAGCCCTTGGAATTAAAAAGATTTCGCCACTCTAAGAAATTTGACAAAAAATAAATTACCTAAATTTATTTTCAGGGAATTTACTTCGTTCTTTCAACTCAACTCGACTTAATTAAAATGAGTTAAGATTATATAAGAAACATATTTCAAATTAATATTTATTTTAACCAAGGTTACAACTATATATTCTGTTATTTTCAAATCCCATACAATGCATACAGTAAATTTTGTGTCATAGTTTTGGCTAATTGTTTTTATGACCGGCCGCCTGCCTGACATCAACTCTCTTTGGGAATGCATTAATCAGTGATGTCTAAATACTCTTAGAAAGTACATATGACTCGGAAAAATCACATTGGTACTTGCCAGGGACCCTCGTGCTTGAGAGGCGGTCCTTTTAACCACTAGGCTACTAGTCACCACGGACTAAAGTGTATATTTATATTTGTAAATTATTAACAAAAGATATAAAACTAACTGAAAGACATAAAATTTGTTATCTATCAAATATATTGTATGCCAAAAGGATTATATTTGAATGAATGAAAATACTGAATTAATTATGAAGCCAAATTTTCCGTAAGCATTGTAATATAAGAAAACGCGACGAGTACAAACCGAGTATTAAGAATTCAGATAGCTCCATCGCTAAGCGAAATTTGTACTTGAAAGTGGGAGTAACAATGAAATATTATGTGCAATCTAGTAAAATGAAGGTGCCACGTGAGAAGGTCGTCCTTTCGCGTGATGTAACCCATTCCAGCTTTTATGATTTGCACGTTTTATGAGTTCCTTCGCTATGCAGCTTTTAGTTGGTACGTAGCGGTACAACAGTCAAAGTTGTGATTATTTTATTATATCTGTCATTGTCTTAAATTCTGTTTTAAATTAATCAATTATGTCGCTGTTAAGTTCAGGCATTTCGTACACGAAATTGAAGTTCTATTTTTTAGTTCAGCTCTGCTTTTATTTATCGGGATCGATAAATAAAAGAACTTTTTATCCCGGGTCGTAGGACCCATCCACTCTTCCGGTGACGCTGTCAAACCCGCAGGGCTAACAGAAATGCTTATTATAAAAGAGAAATAAAAACTTTTTTATTAGTCTATCCGAAAAGTAGGGGTTTCGTAGTTCATATTAAAAATCTTAAAAATTACTTTAAACACTCACAATCGTCCTTTTCTAATGAAGTTTTGGTATGCAATTATTATATCTTAAATTCCTAAAATGAGAATGTTTAATCAAAACTGGTTTCATAACGATTAATATTTTTTATACATGATTTGGTTGTATTATTGAATTATTTTATCTTTCATTCTTTTTAAACAAATAATATCATTTATAAAATTTCAACTAATAATATCAGCTTAGATAACAAAGAACATAGATCTGTTATCGTGGTACTTTGTCGTTGACAATTCTATTGTTGCCTCAGACTAACCTGAATTACTGGCTACTATTTTAAATTGTGTTTTTAAAACTTCATAGCGCTAAAAATAACATTCAAAAAGGCGGATTGTTTCAATTTATATTCACTTCTATGCGTGAGGTGTAGGTTTCAGGCAATTGCTCGTATTTTGTCGTTTGTTCTTTACATTTATGCAATTTTGAATCTTATTTACTCATTGTTAGGACCAAATATATCTTGTATAGTTAGATATTCAGTAGAACGACGAATACGTGGCTGGTGTGAAGATTATGTATTATGTATGACATTTGTGCCACAGTTCTGATTCTGGACCTGTTGTGTACATTGTGTTGTTCATTGCTTTGCGGCAAAAGTCGCGAGTATTATGTATTTTAAGGAGATGAAATTTCTAAGAAGGTTGGTATCATTATGCAGATATTTTATAAAGGGTAATATTTTCGTTATCTTATATCTGTCTGAAAATCTGGGCTTCATTCTTAGGTATGTGTTTGAGAAAATTCAGTATACATACTCGTATATGTATAAACTTTTAATAAAAAACATTAAAATTAGGATGCTTAAATATAGCACATAAATTATATGTAATTAATTTTGACAGCTTTGTAATGTTGTACATTCAGTGTCTGAAATGAAATACGATGTTAAAATTTCTGGTATGTTTACTGCAATATTAATCTGAGTTTATACTAAGCTTTGAAGACACGTTAAACCATTTAAATGTCAAACGAAACTTGGTAACAAGTTTTTTTATCTTTGTTTGTTGTATCTGAAGAGAAAATAATGTCACTAGGAATAAGTAGTTAATAAATTAAGAGATATTTCATGTGTTTTAAAACATATAAGTAAGTATATAAAGATTTTGTATCTTCATATAAACGATTAAAAAAACACGTTGTTCTTTTAGTCTTTGTCTTTTAGACATAATTTTTTAAATTATTTGTTATACATAGTAAGTTACATATGGATAAAGATTAATATATTTATAGATATCGAAAAAAAGTTAGGTGGAATAAAATTATAGTTATATAATTAAGAGTCATGGAAGACTAAGAAGAAGTGGTTGCTGAAGATGTTATGTAGTTAAACCTTTGTTTTATAATTTTTAGTATGACGTATCTCGACCAAAGACACGTTAATGACGACATTTTGAAGTAAATATTTATGATAATGATGCAGCGTTAATTAGTTTTTTTTAATGAATATTGGAGACGAAAAGAGGTCGGATGGAAATAGAAACGGTCTGCAATTTGAATGATGGAATGCGACGTTTTATTTTATTGTGATATAAATTGGAGTAAATAAATTCAGTATGACATTTTTCAGCTAGAATGTTCGAAAACATGTATAGGCATTTATAAAAATTGGGTAGGATGACTGTATTTTAAATAAAATTACTTACTTTTGAAATGAGTACATATATGTATGTTGAATAAAATAATAGACATGATACACGCCTACAGGGTCATGAAGAATGATGAAGCTAAGCGTGTTAGCAATTATGTATGTAATTATGACATGTTTTTAAATTATTAGCACTGCTTTTAATTAAACAGTTTTGGTTTTATATAAAACTGAAATATGTTACTTTAAAATAATACAATTTGTTTTATTCACCCATTTTTTATTAATGTATTAATTATGTATTTAGTTGAAAAACATTTATTTTCAAAACCGATTTATATTATATGTAATTTATTTTTTTTGTGTCCATTTTATATATATTGTTGTACAAGATGTTAACTAGTTAACACGGAAACAAAATAAAAAGGAACTCTAAGATTGCACATATAAAAGTTGCTCCCTCGATACTCGTAAGGGCATGTCCCTTCTATAATATATAAACATATATATAGAGTATTCTATGTATATTCCCTTACGGAATTTTACAGGTATGAAATCTTGACAACCCTAATAATATAGATAATAATGTTTTATAAGTACCTATACTGTATTTTTTACTAAACATTATGTGTTTGTGAAGGTGTCAGTAATCCTTCAATCTCTTTAATAGCGATTTCATATTCGCGAACCGTTCCGTACTCGACCTATATTTGTCGGATTGTATCTGCGTTGGATGAAAAATATTATTTTAAAATGTACAATTCTAAAAATCTTTGTATATTTAAAAACATATTTGTATTGTAAATATTGATGCTAGTCTAGTTTGTTATCAATAAACAATCAGTGTGATTATATAAAAAATTCCATATATTAAATTAATTATTATTTTATATTACAATAATTAGAACAAATAATATTAAGATATGATTGGATTGGTTAAGTATAAACACTCGGATTGAGATAATATGTAAAGAATTAATTACTTCTACATAACAAACAATAAGTTATTCTACGAATTGTGGAATACAGAGCTATTTTAACGTTATCTAACAATTATTACATTATCTAAGCTTAGGAAAAAAGACGTGTTCCTCTGCTTAAGGCAATTTTATTGACAGTGGCTTATCGGTAACTTTGTCTCGCACAAGTTTGCATCTTCACACATCTTCACACTTCACACTAAAAACAAAATGTTTCCCGTTTCTCGTTTAATAACCTACAGTTATAATGTACAATGCAAAGATTTGTGAATGTAAAATGTAAATGTAAAAGTCAGTGGTTGCCCAGTGGTTAAAGGGCCCGCCTTTCGTGCACAAGGGCGCGGGTTCGATCCTGGCAAGTACCAGTGTGATTTTTCCGAGACATGTACTTTCTAAGAGTATTTTGACACCACTGAGAGACGGTGTTGGAAAACATTGTGAGGAAACCTGGACTTATAATTTCACAATTATAAGTTTGAAATCACCAACCCGTCTTGAGCAAGCGTGGTGATTAATGCTCAAACCTTCTCCATGTGAGAAAGAGGTCTTAGCTCAGCAGTGGGCTCTGATAGGCTGATGACGATGATGAATGTAAAAA